GCGTGGTGCTTAGTTGCTGGCTGGGGCTAAATCACGACAGCCATCCATGGTGACTGGGAGCCCTTTTGTCCTTCTCCCCAAGGAACTCCTGCTGTGCCTTCCCTTAGTGATTCTCAGTTTGATTCCTCTCATTTTTTTTTAATTTCTACAATCTGGCAAGCCATTCAGACTGAATGTGCCTGCACTTGGCACATGGGGAAACTGTCACAGCCTGCTGTGAAAAGTAGCAGTAGCAGCTGCTCAGCCGTGGTGCCAGCTTTGCTGGCTGGTGCCTCCACACCAGCACTCATTAATTACACACCAGAAAGTTGACAGAGAGAGGATGTTTGATAAAGGAAGGGAGGGGCTGGCCTATGTCAAGAGCAGCAGATTTGGAGAAGGTATGCAGAAGCAAAGTTTGTGGTCTATGCTTTTTAGCCCGATCTTCCCCTCTGCATTTAACAGCAAACCCCTGTGAATGGCCTGCCTGAATCCTGCCTGCAAAGTCACCTAGTTTCTTCTGTTTGGCCTCCTACACTGACTGTCCTGACCCCCCTACTGAAGTGTTGAATGCATCTTAGGAAGTCCCAACCAAGTGTAATAATTTGCTTCCTTTAGCAAACCTGAACATGCCATGGGTGTTTTGCACAAGCAGGTTTTTTGACATCTGCTAGTGGCCTTGAGTGCCAAAATCAACGTAGGGATGAGATGCAAGGTGGCAGGGAATGCACACCAGGCAAGGTGGGGCTTTGTTTGTTTATTCAGAACAATACTTGAAGATAGTTGAGATAGATAGCCATCCGTGTTCCTCGCTCATCATCCCCACAAACCTCCCCAGTCGATTTCCCACAATAAGCACCACTGATGGGTGACTCACATTCTAGGTCTTCCTGTGCAGTGAGGGTTGGATTTTTGGATGCTTCTTATGTGTGGAGAAAATGGTTGGTGAAAGATCAAGCCCTGAATACCTGTCCTGAGGGTAGGTAAAGGTGGGCAAATCTCAGCAGCCATTTTAACTGGGGCTCGGGAACATGCCTGAGAGTCATGTGCCTCCTTTCAGCAGCACTTGCTTTTCATGTGGCAACTCGGAGGACACAGCATCTCTGCAGTTGCCCCACTCAGCCCCATGGACCTCAGTGCTGATACGTTATCAATGATCCACACACTTGGAGCGGCAGAGGGCAGAGCCTCACCTCACCTGTTGCGGATGCATCTGTGCTGGCTTTACATAGGCTAGCAAGTCCCAGAATTACCCCTTGACATGGTACCATGGACCCAAGCCTGATCTAGCTGCATATGTATTTCCCTTATGTCTTAGCATGTTGTCCCAGCCATGCTGTAGTTCAGCCTGAGCAGCTGAGAGAAAGTTGAGGTCTGAGAGTGTGAACTGCCACCCCAGCTTGGCTGGTGGTGTAGATATGTCTTTGTGTGCTGGCTGTGATCAACAGGAAAGGCCCGGGCTTTCCTAGACCATTTGTGTTTCCAACAACACAAAAAAAATCTTAGCTTGGTACTTAGGAAAGACTTGGGCCACTGTGTAATGTAAGATCACAGTGTAAGGAGACTCTTATGCCTGGCACCTGATCCAGAGCTCAGTAGAGTCAGAAGAAAGATTCCCTTTGGCATACACTCACTCTAGATGGGGTCTCTACTAAAGAAAAAAACATTACCTGGGTTTTGATGGTAGTGGACCCATCAGTGACTTCCACTGTCAGGTTATAGCTTGACTTCTTCCTTGCATCAAGGGTTCTTGCAATGACCATGCTGCCTGTGCTCTTTTCAATGTCAAAATCCATGTCATCATCACCACCTGGGATAAGGGGGAGATGAGAAAAGGAAATGGGGGGGCAGTTACAGTTAGATTTTTGTCTGGAGCAAACTGCAGGTGCCAACAGCCTCTGCAGGGGAACGGATTCCAGGAGCTGCCTGGAGATCCAAAGAACAAGGATTTCTCTTCTGGACACCATACACAAACCACACAAGTAGCTAATGCCCAGCCACAGATATGTGGCATGCCAGGTGATCTGCCTTGAATGGGGATGTGTAGGCATTCACTCTACCTGTACCTCTTTGGCCACAGCTAGACTGGGGACAGTGCCATAGGTGAAGTTTCCCCCAAATCTGAAAACTCAATACAAAATGTGACAGATGGACACAGGAGACAGGGAGGACATGGAGAAGCTGGACAAGGAGGTAGTCACAGATGGTGACAAAGGAGTACAAAAGGGAAGGTGAGGGGGATTAGAGAAAATGAGGAGGAGGAGAGAAAGGGAAAGGATGCAAGTATGCATATGATGTCCTGGCTAGGTTTCCAACAGGCACATTTGAGCATTGATTTATTTGCACAAGGTCTCCAGCTATGCTGCATCACAGGCTTAGCATGGACTGGGGACCTGCAGGGCTGAACGATGCTCTTGCTGGCTTCCAATTCAAGGTCACACTGTGCACATATCAGCAACGGTCTTCATTGCCACGGTTGGAAGCCTGTGAGCTACCTGAAGAAGCCCAATACTTGAACAGTTGGGGAGGCAGACGGTGCTTCCAGGGTGAGCAGAGCCTGTTGCCTCCAACCCAGATGGCTGCGTAGTGTA